TTTTTTGTTCGAAAGAAATCGAAGAAATCTCGCAAGCGACTTTGAACTGGCAATTGTCACTTTGCAGTGACAATTGTCACTTTGAACTGACAATTGCCACTTTGAACTGGCAATTGTAATTCAGAGATCTGAATATTTCGAAAACTGAAATGAAATCTTGAAACGCTTTTGCGGACACACGTTCAAAGAAAAAAGTCTTATTTCGACCTGAAAAATTAGCCTCCGAAATCTCAAACACCCCTGTATACAGGGTGTCCTTAAAAGGTCTTCACAAAAACTTACCACAGATTCCTCAGACCAAAACAATTCGAAACAAGCGAACACACCTCAGTACAAAGTTGCTTAGTTTGGGTGCTAGACGGCTCTGAAGTTACACTTTTCAAATCGTTTTTGCTTCATAACTTTTGGAATGGTTCATGAAATTTCACTCAAATTTGATACGTTGGCATAGCTTCATCGGGCAATGAAATCCATATCATGATTATGATGAATATCATTCCATGGGCGTAGAACTTGAGTTTTTCCGTAAAAAAACATCTAAAACTTCTACGACAATGGAAAAAAAGGGGTTTGTGTATGAAATTTGGATATGCTATTCATATCCATCAAATGTTTGGAATCGTGTAGAACTTGGCGATGAACTTGATCATTCATGATGACAAAACTTTCTGAAAATGCCTGAAGTATACAGGGTGGTTCTAAAAGTAGTGACTATTTCTTATGATTTCCTAGAATAAAATGATGATTGATCAAATTCTATATACGAATCTGCTGGGATAATTTCAACAAGTTACTGTGAAATAATCCGAATTATGTCGATGTATATACCAATATCTACGACGAATAATAACTCAATTGATGCTGCATGTAGGGATCTTGAAAAATTACATGGGAAAAATAAACAGAATCACAAAATAATGTTATAATAGATGGCGAAAGATTTTCAAATCACTATACAGGGTATTCGCTAAAGGGAGGTCAATCCATTAACCATATATTCCTTGAACAAAAATAATATGAGTTTCTAAATACCATTTTTCATTTCAGCCCTTCATATTCGATATACAGGGTGTCAAAGTTCGTAATTAAAAACTGTTTTTTTCTAATTACTCGCGTATTTAATGAGAATCTCAAAATTGGTACATCACTTCAGCACAAAGAGTTACATCGTGTGAGGAAAACAAAACAGAAAAAACTGTCAAATATTCAAAATTCTGGGGGTCAAATACACACTTACCCCCATTTTTTTTGTACGTGCGCTAATGACTTCCTATCTATTTTTCTTCAAGTGTTCAATCATTTTTGAGTATTTTTTGTCTCTTGTAAAATTTCGATAAAATTATTTGTTTTTAGATAATAAGTACTGGTGATTGTTTGATGCCTATGCGGCTTACGGTAATCTCATAATGTTCATATACTCCTATTTATTTCGACGAAATTGGAACTGGGCGTATCTTTTCACGAACGAAAAGGTAAATATGGAAATACCGGGTGCTCAGAGCGAATGTATTGAAATAATTTTTACAAAAAAAAAAATATAGAAATTTAACACGTCTAAATGAATTGCTCGATATGACATCCAATTTTTTGAATACACATGCGAGCCCTTTTAATTAAAGAGAATCTTAGCCTTTCAAAAATATGTGGCTATATACACAAAATCTTTCATACATCCCCAGACAATCCTGATCTGCTATTTCTTTAGTAGCTATCAATATCATGGATATCATAATTTCACTAAAAAATTCCGAAAATATTTGTTTAAAATTTTTTTCGATTTCATTTCTTGTTCGTTCGCGCCTGAAAATATTCTCATTAAATTCCGCACCTCCCAAAACCGCCAAAACCGTTCCTAAATTTTTTTCGAAAAATTTGCTGTTCTCGAAAGAAATCGATTCGATAATTTTTCAAAAGGGTGGGCTCATCAATCGACCTCCCCATCCTCTCAGAATCATTATTTACCCGAAATTCCATAAAAGGTTTTTTTTATTCGACCCTGTAAAAAATAATTTCACGCCGTTAGATTGGCAAAACAATTCAATTCGACATGTGTCCTCACTTTTTTCATTTTTTTTTTGTAAAAATTTTTTTAATACATTCGCTCTGAGCTTCCGGTATTTCCATATTTACCTTTTCGTACGTAAAAAGTTACGCCCTCCTTCAATTTCGACGAAATAGATAGGAGTTGTGAACATTATGAGATTACCGTAAGCCGCATAGGCATCAAACAATAACCAGTACTTTTCGAATTATCTTAAAAACAAATAATTTCATCGAAATTTTAAAAGGAACAAAAAATCCTCAGAAATGATTGAACACTTGTAGAAAAATAGATAGGAAGTCATTAGCGTAAGTACAAAAAAATATGGGGGTAAGTGTGTACTTGACCCCCAGTATTTTGAATATTTGACAGTTATTTTTTGTTTTGTTTCCCTCACACGATGTAACTCTTTGTGCTGAAGTAATGTACCAATTTTGAGATTGATATCTTATCAAATACGCGAGTAATAAGAAAAGCAGTTTTCAATTTCCAACTTAGACATCCTGTAAGTATATCGAATATGAAGGGCTAGAATCAAAAATGGTATCTAGAAACTCATATTGTTTTTGTTCAAGGAATATGTGGTTGATGAATTGACTTCCTTTCAGCATACACCCTGTATATGATGTTTCTCACCTATACCGAGTAGTGCAGCCTTTTTTTCTGACAACAACGAATTCAGCTATCCGAAAGAGTACCTATTTCGTTCATTTGCAGAATCTATTTATAAATATTTATTCAACTCCTGGTTGAGATATCCACAATGCATGTTTTTCGACAATTCAATCTCGGATTATGAAAATCCACACCTCTTTACAGAAGGAGTACTTTCTTTTCATAACGATCAGATGTATCACTTTCGAGTTAAAGCGATATAAAAATATTGTAACATCGTACATCTCAAATATTATGCATGACATTAGAATGAGTCGTAGTGGAAATGGAAAAAATAATCACAAAAATTGAAGTTGTTTTTTATCATCATTTTCCTATTTTTCGCACTTTAATGAGATTGTTTGTTGTAAAGACAGTAGCTGCTTTTTTTATAGCCACTATGATTTCAAAATTGGCGACGTTATTTTTTTTATGTTCTGGTTCCCACAAAAAGGGATATCCTGAAATGTTCAGAGAACATGGTGAAAACCAAGGCAGGAATTGGTGTTCTCCTTGAATTTCTTGGCAATGTGTTCCAGAGCCTCACTCTTTGTTGGATGAACGAGTCTTCGGAAAGAGATTTTATGCAGGTCTCCAAAGTGACCATGAAGGGGTGCGAAGCCTCAACTCGACGGGTTTATCTCGCGGGGACTGCCAAGGGAGGAACAATTGTTGATATTTCAGAAGAGCATCGTCCATGAAAATATCTATAAAATAGAGCCAAATGGCCAACTTTTCCACGGTGTTCCAGAGAAGTGAGTGAGTTTGTGAGCGAGGCACCACCCACGAGACGAATTGCCCATTTTTGAACAGAATCCAACAAGTTCAGGGTATGTTTGGGTGCTGCAGTCCAAATATGGGAACAGTATTCCAGGACAGGTCGGATCTGTGCCTCATAGATCATAAGCAGCTGACTGGATGTGGAATAGCTCCTGGCCCGAAACAGAAAACCAAGTTTTTGGGATGCACTTTTAGCAATTGATCTCACGTGATTTTCTCAAGAGAGGTTATTGCATATAGTAATACCAAGCATCGAAATGGATGTCTTCAAAGGTATGGTTACGCCTGACAAGCTTATGCTGGGCATTGCCTGGCTGGTATTGGAGCCCTGGAAGAGGAGGTGGTATGGAGGGTTCTATCATCCGCGAAGCTGCTTCCAAAAAATCGTTGATATGGAGTAGAAATAGTGTTGGTGCTAGAATTGATCTTTGCGGAACACCAGCATTGGTGATGAGAGAGTCAGATGAAACTCCGTCGACCACTACATGGAGAGACCTGTTTGAGAGAAAACGAACTAGCAGAGAACATCGCTGGGGAGGCAAGTCATAAGATGGAAGCTTGGTGAGGAGTCCGTGGTGCCAGACTCGATCGAATGCCTTGGAGATATCAAGTGCCACGGCTAAGGTTTAACCATATTTTTAGATAGATTGCTGCCATATATGTGAGACGTAAGCGAGCAGGTCACCAGTTGATCTCTGATGACGGAAGTCATATTGCCTATATCGTTGATAATACCTGAATGTGAATGTGTTATATATGCATAAGATGTGTGTATCAATAGTTTTGAATCGATTTCACTCGAAAATGATACATCTGATCGATGCGGAACAAGAGGACCTTTTTTTGTGGAATGATGTGGATTTTCATAAGCCGAGATTGTCGATATATATGCATACAAAAAAGTTTGAGCAACATTCAATGTAGTCCCACCCTGTATTATACACTCTTGGATGAAACTTTGGAATGATTTTATGTTCTCCGCATTGGGCATGGACAGTTTAGTTCTTGTACTGAATTGTAGCGTTCTGGAAATATTCAAGAAATATCATCTTCAGGAGCCTGTTCCAGGAGGCCGTAGCTTCCTCAGGAAACATTTCTCGACTCATGTCCATTGGGACTTTTCTCCATATCTTTGGTCGTAGAAGCCGCTGGTGAAGTTAAGCCTGCAAATTTTGGGACACCCTGTATATGAGAAATATGTCAGCGCACTCGTTCAATTAAGGGGTACAGGAAAACTCATTTCATCTCTTATAAAAAAGATTTGTGTGTCATATTATTTCTTCTGATATTTCAATACATGATAAGTGTTCCCTTACTCTTTATGAAGCATCGAACGTCAGATATTCTAGGCTTTCTAGGTCGGGTATCTATACCGTTATCCTTTGTTTTTGATTTACTGTCTGCTACTGTCATTGTAGTTTGGGTTTTGATATTGCATCTATCTTGATATATGAACATCATATTATTCTTTATTCGTTCCATTGATTTGGATATTAGGATGTATTCGTCTATTTATTTATTCAAGGTATTCAATCAAACAACGAGGAATTGTCCATCAACCCTCTTCGGTACTCTGGTTCCTTGGTCTATCACATCAACGTTTCGGAACTCAACTACATAGCTGAAATGACCAATAATGTGTTCCAAGGATTTGCCGATTCAGTAGTGTCAGATGCTCAGTAAGTATAATCCACAGGATATTCTCAGCACTATTTATTTATTAACTGAATAAGCTGTGGACCTAATTAGTAGGTGGCAATGAAAAAAAAAAGCAAAATGTTTTATTATGATGCATGTCCTCTGATAGTCCAATTTACATTTCTCCATTTAAGGGTGATTCAAAGTTTGATGTGAATATTTTGAGGATGTTGAAGTTGAAATAAGACTATAATACACTCCCTCTGAGCTCCAACGACTGCAAAAAAAGATTATCTGGAATTGTTATTATGCATATGTAGAATCAAGACCGAGATATGGAATATTACTTTGGCGATCATCAAAAGGGCTCCCGTAGTTTTCATAGCACAAAAGAAGGTTATTTGCTGCATAGCACGTGTCCCTTACTTAAATCCATGCTAGTGGTGCCCGCGAGAGTATCGTTTTAGAGAGTCTTGCATGATCTCGTCTCGTTTTCGAGACAAGACTCAAGACGAGACTCGGACAAGACGAGACGAGACTTTTATTATTCTCGTCTCGAGTCTTGTGCAAGACTTCTCGTATCTCGTGTGAGTCTTGCAGGTAAATATTTCTGCGTACCGACTGCAGACTCGAGAATTTCATTCATAATACAACATATTTAGGAAGAATTCAGACTATTTAGCACAGATAGACAAAACATTTCATACATAAATAGTTTAAAAACACAATCTGAGCGTGCGGAACTCAACTGTGTCTGAAAAATTCAAAATATTACAATAATGAGCAGACCCAAGAGGAAAAGAATCAATCTGAGTAAGAAAATTAATCAAACTCCGGTGATTTTTCTAGTGGAAATGAGGGCGATTACATACCAGACAATGATGTAACTGAACGTGAATGGTCGTCGTCACTGAATAGCATTGATAGCAGTATATGTGCGTCTGCTTCTGCTCGTGTGCAAACACAAAACAGTGCTTACGAAAACAAATTCGATCCTTATCTCAACATTGAATTGAAAGGGACAAATCGAGACAAGATAGAAAGAACAAGATTATGCATGACGAAATTGCGATATATTTGTGGGACTCTCGTACGAGACGCGAGACAAGACTTCATATTTCATCGGCGAGACGAGACGAGACTTTATGAAAGTCTCATCTCGTTGGTCTCGTATGAATCACTAATCCATGCAACCAATTATTTCCCAAATTAGGTATATTGACGCTTCACCCGTGATAAAAACGTACAGAATTCTGACACAAGGAATAGAAATGATATACAGTGTGGAGAATTTAACTGGAATAAATTCGTTAGCGGTAAGGTGAATATTTTTTCTAAATAAATATTCAATGTATTTACCCACCTTCTGCAAGCAATTTCAAGAATATATCCCTCCAGGGGTAGTTGAAACCACCCTAAACATGATTTTTTCGAATGTAACCCTATGGCACGTGAACCGTCATTGGAAAGCTGGTAGAACGAGAAATCCAGTGTACTTTTAAAATTTTGGTTTTTCATACGTTTAAAGGTTGCATAAAATCGAAATGTTATTTTAAAATTCATTCTTTTCCAACGTTTCAATCGCTCAAAATGTGTGTTGAATAATTGATGGCAATTTTTTGCCACAACTGCTATCTGCTATTGTATTCCAGTGTTTTTAAAGAGCCGCAAAAATAAATTCAGTTTTTTTGCCGTATTCACAGTTCGAAACGAAGTGTGATTGCAAACTGGTGGATATGCCTTATATCACAGTCACTGAAAGTCGAAATTTTGATGAAAATACGTTGAAAATATATCAAACTTCGAAATTATATTTTGATTTTATGCGATTCCTCTTTCAACTGGATTCCTCTTTCAACCAGCTTTCCAATGAGGGGTCGCAAGTCATAGGGTTGCATTTGAAAAAAATCATGTTGGGGTTGATTGCAGTTACCCCTGCAGGGTTATATTCTCCATATTGCTCGCCAAATCTAGGTAAATACATTTAAACGTTGACGTGTCTTGCGAATTTGCGAAAAATCATTCACTCCCCTAGTAGCGAATTTCTTCCAGTTGAAGTCTCCACCCTGTATGTACTCAATCAGTCAGATCAACGTTGAGTTGTCAATCTCCAAAATAAATGGGTTCACGGCTATTTATTAATATAGTCTTCCAGATCGCATCTCTAATAATACTATATCTTTCAAAAAATCATTGAAACAGTTTCTTCTCGAGGGATGTCATTATTCAATATCTAAATTTCTCAGTAAATAGAATGAGTGTAAATGTCAACTATGTTTATTTGTTTTTATCGTATGGAACTCGTTTGTGCCATTATGTGGAATGTTAATCAGTTTCTACTACATAGATTAGGTTTTTGTTTTGTTTCGGTTCATTTTATTATGTACATACATGACAACTTTCAATGCAAATTATTAATTGTCAATTGAGGAAACATTCTGATGAAAAAAAATTTAAAAAAGAATAATGACAGAAAATAACAATAATTCAAAACTGGAATTCGTTATTACGAATCATACATAACTGTTGTAATGTTTGATATTACACATTGGAAGTACGCTATACTATTCTACTACTAACCAAATTGATTTTGTAATGCCACGAAACGTGTTTCGCCAACTATATAAGCATCTCCAGGAGAAAGGGGATTTCCAAGTTGTACTGACAAAACCCCAGGCAAAATTCCTCTCAACAAAATATGGAAAGAAGTTCATGTAAGCATGGGTCCGTAAATGCTTCCTTTCCGAGATACAGCAGGGTAATCAAGTTTTCAAAAGAATTGTTTTATTCTATAATCAATATTGTGACAACACATGAGCCGATTCGGATGACATTTCCATGGTTCATTTGAATAATCATCAGGCATTCACTGGACCAATTAGATTTGATCTAGAATTTCCAGGAGCGCACCCATTAAGCAAATGGACGTTTTTTGTATAAAGTATTGTCACTCACTTCTTTGCGGGTCCTTTTCAATTATTCAGATAAACTCACTAGAAATACAACATTTCTGTCGACTGCTGTTTTTCCGTATCTTATTTCGTTTTCTAGAAAATTCCATGGACAATTTTATACCTCATAGGCTTATATCTCTGAACTCCATAAGAAAAAAACAAAATGCGTAGAAATTATCCAAAAATGTCTGATACATTCTCATCCATGAAACAAAAAACATCAATTCAATACCTCTTACATGTATTCGATCAGATTTTGTGAAAATATTCTTCCAATATATTAATAAACACCTTTTTTTGATTGACTCGGCCGTTACTTAATGGAAATCCATGGCAAATGTAAAAACTTCAGAAACGATAAGATTTACACAAAATTGTCAAACACACGACATGTTTCGCTAACACAGTAGCTTCATCAGGTGATATACTGGTACAATGAACTAAACTAACCTTGGCTGAATAAAAGTTAGAATAGCAAGAGGAATCTCACCTAAACTTTTGTCACCTCTGAAACACCCTGTATATAGGTATCAACTAGGTATGTCATGATGGTTGGGTTCACAGTCACAGGTTATCCCAACAATGACCATGAAAAAAGAGTTTATTTCACAAAAGATAATACAAACCCTTCATCGATGCAGCGAAGTTGGAAGCTAAGTTGATGCAAGGTTGTAGCAATTACTGGAACTGACGTTCAGCAACATTGCAAATATAAAATTCATATGTGTAACGTTCCAGCAATGCAACAGCAAGACGTAATCTTGCTACAATGCTACATTGTCAAACTCCACCTCTGCAATATTGCTGAACGTTCGTTCCAGTTTTGCTTCAACATTGCATCAACATAGCTTCCAACTTTGCTAAGTGGCTGGTTGTGTGAATTTTCAGTTTGAGCGACGATGGACCAAACACTGTGATTTCCTTCACCACCAGGGCCCCTTATCTGAATCACACGGGAGATTATACGATGGTTGGAGTGCTCCAAACATTAGAAGGCTTCGATGGTGAAATAACTCTCAAAGAAAATGGAATAGCTACATTCACATACAGTAAGCACAAGCAATAAGCATACATAGGTTTGTCAATTTGTGTTACAAGGTATGCTTAGAATTTGATCTGAATGTGTTCGTGTGTGGAGCTTATTGCTGTAGATCAAGAAGATTCAGCTAAATGTAGTCGGCCAAAAATGGTCGCTGAAAAAGCTGATCAGTTCAGTCGGGTATACCATTACCTGAAAAAGCAGCAAATTTGTTTCAAGACTACAAAAATTTCGAAAATGGCAGAAGTTTCAACAACTGATATCGTTTCAGAAGCTTTAGTGAGCGACGTAATGAATAGGTAATGAATATTATGTTTTGAATACGAATGAGGAGAAGAATAGTTGTTTATTATGCAAATAAAAAAATTTATATATAGTGGAATCTAACATTTTCCCGTGTATAATACACATTTTTTTTCTGTGACAGCAAAAAGGCCGAATCAATATTGAGAGGCGATTATATTAAAATCAGAAAATTATCGAAGTGAAGTTTTTAACAGGAATGACACCTGAGTTGCAGGCATCTTGAAGTAATCAAATATCTGTTTATCTGATTTTGTGATTCCATTTTAAGAAATTGCGGATTTAGTGATTGTTTAGTAATTAACGTAACCGCGGATTCGAATGGAAGATAAGATAAAAGGACTTGCAGTTCTTACTAGGAGACGGTGATAATAGAGAGTTGAAGTAATCACTGTACGTAGACCTCTACGTAGACGTTATCGTACTAAAAATAGTCGTCACTTTGGTCGGCCCTGTCATCGTAACGTAATGATTCATTTTTTTTTTTCGTTTTGTATTGGTCACTTTTGGTTGTGTGTTTAGATCCGAACATTTATTCCTGTAAAAATAATAGGACTACATATTCCGAGTATAGTTTGGTTGACGTGAGTTGATATTTAAGGACAAAATATAATCTTGAAATGAGTGAATCTATATCTTGTTTCAGAGCGAATTTGAAGTTTGAATTGAGTAATTATGTCTGGATCTTATTCTATCAATTACATCATGAATTGTTCATAAAGAGATATTGAATTGGATCAAACAATCATTTTGTTTGATTCAAAATAACAAGATATTGATTCAATCAAATATTTAGTTGATTCAATGAAATATTTGGTTGATTCTATGAAATATTTGGTTGAGTCAATGAATTATATGGTTGATTCGATGGAATATCTGGTTGATTCAATTAAATGTTTGGTTAATTCAATGAAATATTTTGTTGATTCAAAGAAATATTTCGTTCATTCAAGAGAAATTGTATTTTAATTCGACGAATTGTTTTGTTGTAAATTCAGAATTAATTCTGGAGTTTCCTGAAATTTCACATCAAAAGAATAAACTAAACTAGGAAAATAGTCGACTTCTAGCATAGATCTCCAGTCTTCAATCCCCTTCAGCTGATGCAAAACTATTTCGTATTGCTAATCATCCTAAGTTCGATTCATCCAGCTGATATTTCAACGACAAAGAATCTGGCCTCACGTATATAATGAATTCGAACCATGCATAGACGAGGCGAAATGATCGCCATCTAGAGGCGAAAATGTAACTTGATGTAGAATGAACAAAATATTCCATTGATATTACATATTTCGTTGCTCTATCCAAGCAAATGATCCGTTCGAAACGAGTTCATTGCTACATCGGAATAAGAAAACTTGTATGCTGTTTCAAAGATATATTCTCATCAAAATGATCGTTACATCATAAAATCAACAAAATGTTTATAGTTGAATCAACATCGACATTATTTTGGATCGACATAATTTGTTCTTGAGAAAACCATATATTTTGTTGATGGAATTGATATTATACTGTCGATTCAATCAGACTACATTCTTGATTTAAACAAGCTGCTTTCATGAAACAATCATGTATCTGGTTGATTCAACAAAAAATTGCTCAGTCTAACGAAAATAATTCGAGCATAAATAATTGTTTGATGCAACCAATTATTTTTTTCCGTGTGTTATATTAATTATCTGTCCACGACTGTTGTACTTCATCACACGCACAGCGATAGCTATTTTCCACACCAGTGAATAATAGCGGTGAATAATCATTATATAAAGTTCCTTTTATGTTATATCGCGTACCCTAGGAACTCTAGACCAGTGAATTATGGTTATTCACTGCTATTATTCAGTGGTGTAAAAAATGGCCACCGTTTTGCTTGAGGAATTACTTGTATGAATATTTCATACAGCAGGCGTGGATAGAATACTCCACCATGGAATTTCATATAGGGTGCGTTCCACTGAAGCTTCACATCGATTATAATACAAGATTTTTTATTTTTTGTCCTCAATGAAGTCATTATGACACCCAAATCTGTATCGAAACAGTTTCTATTAGTATACGCTGAATCTCAAAGTTGGTAGTGGTAACGTCAAACTGTCAGACACAATAGACACGAAGTCTTGAGTGATTCGAGAACGAACATTGTAATTTATTTATTTATTTATTTAATGTTACACTGTTCTACAGGTCAAACCCAACTACAGAACAGGGAAATAAGTATAACTAATAATACAGTTTTTCATATTTTGAAAAGTATATAAATATAGGCAAGACCTTAGCTGAAATAAAAAGATTTAATCGTAGAGATAGAGCAATGAAAGATGTCTGGCCGATTATTTGATGAATTATTGTATATAGAACACATGTTATGGAGAGGAGAATATTTCAGAATATTTGTTCGTGGTGTCGGAAGATAGAATGTATTGAAAACTCTAGAATTTTGTCTAGGCACAGTGAAACTCAGCTTCTGCAAAATGTGTGAGTCAGTGATAATGTTATTCACCACTTTGAAAAGGAACACTGTGGATTGACAATCACGACGGCAACTGAGGCTTTTCATAGCATGTCTAGCCAATAATGTATCACGAGGAAACCCGATTGGTGGATATACATTATCAGATCTATAGGAAAGAAGTTTTAGGAAACGACGTTGTACTGATTCAACTTCCTCTATATACAGCTGATGAGACGGATTCCAAATTAAAGATGCATATTCCAGTTTTGATCTGACGAAGGCATAATATAATGTTTTTGATGTGGCTGAATCGGAAAAATCTCTAGAGATCCGCGCTATGAATCCATACATCCTGTTTGCAGCAGACAAAGTAGCTTCAATATGCGGTGTGAATGAAAGTTTTGTGTCAAAGGTGACACCTAAATCGGTAAATGTGGGCGGACGTTGAAGTATTGTATCACTAATATCATACGGAAATAAAATGAATTGATTTCTAAGTGTATATGTCATCACATTACATTTGCTAGCGTTCAAAGGTAATTTGTTACTGCAACACCATTGTTCAACGCGTTTCAGATTTAAAGATAGCCGTTCACAATCCTCAATATCATTTATCTGACAATATATCTTCAAATCGTCTGCATACATCAAACAATTGACATCAATTACTTCGATGATGGCATCAAGGCATTGAAAAGTAGCGGACCTAGGTTGCTACCTTGAGGGACACCCGAGCTTGCTGCATATTCGACAGACTTGAAACCATTGAACATAACATATTGACGTCTATTAGTAAAATATGAAGCAAAAAGTTGGATAAGTGCCAAGGAAAATCCGTAACGGTATAGTTTCTATAATAATAGTCCATGATCGAGCCTGTCGAATGCCTTTGAGAAATCTGTATATACAACATCAACTTGCAATCGTCTGTCAATGCTTTCAGAAATATATTGAGTAATATTGAAAAGGTTGGTGATTGTGGAACGCCCTTTCATGAAACCATGTTGAAGTGGTGTGATTTGACTGCTCAAATGCTGATATAACCTATCATAGAGGAGTATTTCAAAAACTTTGGCAAAATTGCAAATAATGGATATGGGTCTGAAGTTACCGATGTCGAATTTATCGCCTTTTTTGTATATTGGACAAACTTTTGATAATTTCCATAAGTCAGGCATTGTGCAGGTTTTCAAGCAAATATTGATCAATATAGATAATGGACGAGCCAAAACATATGCACAATCTCTCACAATCATTGCAGGGAGGTTATCAGGACCCGTGGTCATTTTCGGTTTAATTTGCTTCAGAGCTGCCAACACTTCATTCTCGTCAAAACATTCAATGTTCAAAACCTGTAAATACGGATTACAATCGGTAAAATCACTCTGTGAACTCATGGTATACGCTTGAGAAAAAAAATCTGCAAAGCCATTCAAAATATCAAGAGGATTCTCTAATAGTTTCCCTTCATAAGACATTTTATTCGAAATGGTGGTGGATCCTTTTTTGCTGTTGATATATGCCCAGAATTTATTAGGATTGTCTTTGATTTCCTCTTCAGCTGACTTTACAAATTTTTTATAAGCTCTGTCTACATCCAACTTGATTTTGGCTCTTAAACGACTGAATTCGACACGGGCAACAGCATCACCGCTGTTTTTAAACGAGCGCCAATGCTTCGCCTTGAGACGAATTTCTCTAATGATATTATTATCGAACCATGGCGGATATTTTCGCTTGAAGTTAGTATTTCTTAGGGGTACACATCGATTCAATACATTATAAATCTTTCCATATTGATAATTGCAGGCATCATTTGCTCTATCGGAAGCTTCCAGAAAGTTCCAGTCAATATTAGCCATGCGACCATACATACATCCGCTTTCCTGAAATTGTACACCTTATTGTTGAACGTGACAAAATTTCTTTTCAAGTTATGAACAACATCAGGCTTACAATATATATTAAGTGCAGGGTGATGTTTATCCTCGGGTACTAACGGGTCCGATGATCTCTCAATGCGGCACTTAGTGCTACTACTACAAAAGGTGAGGTCAAGAATACAATTATCATATGTGACCTGAATATCAGTAAGTGTTTCAAAAATGATATTATACTTATCGTTAGACAAAGAGGGTGGAATATAAATATTCATCACATAGAAAGAAGTTGAATCAGTCACAATCTTAACCATAACTATGTCCACTGTAGCCAGTTCATGAGGAATCAATGGTGTTATTTCAACCTGTGAGGACACGAATGAGTTATCAACTGCTATTAGGACTCCTCCACCCCTCGAGCACCTGCATTCAGCAAAATTTCTATCACAACGGTATATCTCGTAACAGTTTGGGAATAATTCATCGCTTCTCACTGAACTGTCTAACCAAGTTTCAGTCAATGCAACAATCGAGTACTCATTCACTGATATTGAATTGAAAAATTGTGTTGTTTTAGAACGTAAACCTCTAGTATTTTGATAAAACAGTTTGATTTTATAATCACTCATTGGAGAGTCTGAAAAGGTGTTGCTGTCAGTTGTTTCAGATGGTTGCTATGAACAGCTAAGTAGATTATTTTTGAATTTTCCTAATGCAGTTCGATAAGCAGTACATTTCTCTTTTTCCCAGACTGCATGATCTACTGAAATATTCTTGTTCGCTAGTTTAACGCAAGTAGTACATTTTCGTATTTGGGACTTGCATGCTTTAACGTCATGATTGTCACCACACAGTGGACAAGTTAGGGGCTTGTCACATTTTCTAGAGGAATGATGGAAATCGTTACAAGTGAAGCATCGAGAAATATCAATCGCATCAAAAACACAACAGCTATCAAAGCCGATGAACAAATTGCCAGCTTTCATTATTCTATCATAACAATGTCTCTCAATTTGAATTACAGCTTGGTAGATACTATTATTTTTCTTAGTTGGAAAGATCTTAACTATTTTACAATCAGTTGAACCAGAGAATATGTCAGGATTACATTTCAATAATAAATCAAGCAAGACAGTGTCACAGTACAATTCAGACATTCCAACCACACGGAGTCTTGGACTAATACCAGCAAATTCTCGAACATCATAGGAGACTGCCATCTTTTCTTCAACCAGCCTTCTAACTTTTTCGTTATCCTCTTTGGCCTTGCAACCAATGAGAATTCCGCCATCTTTCATATGTTTGATTTTTGCTAATTGAAAATCATTCTGCGACGGGTTGATGTTACTCATAAGCTCGGATTTAGTTTGAGTTATAGGCTGATTCACATTCTTAGGATGGATAATAACAGCCGGATGGGTTTTATTCTTGACTACATCTGCATAAGGAATGGGAGTACTATCGACTGAAGGCTCCTTGATCATTTTGGTAACATCAGATCGAATGGATGATATTTGACTGTTTATTTTGGATAACGCATCATCGATTTTGGATTCCAATAGTTGACTGATTTCATTTTGATTGATCGAAACACAATCCCTGAGACAGTCATTGCATCTCCAAAAAAGACCTGGTACCGCATTTATTGCGTTCAGTATATCTATCGTCTTAGAAATACAAGCAGAATGAACAGAGTTTTTGCATGATTCACAAAAAATCGCCGGTTTCGTTCTGCTAATCGCCGTTAAACATTCAGTGCAATTAACCATTTTCACTAAATCATAATGGGATATGGACTTACAAAAATAATTTTGGTACGATGATTGTATCAAATTATAGGTCACACTATTTTGCACAACTGGTAAACTTCCCAGATTTGAAATCACTATAAATCCGATAAAAAAACGCGAGAACTTCAGAGCTATACGTTCACTGCTGCAGATTTACTGGATGGAATGCTGACTTTTAACACATATTCATCAACTAGTATATATGGGTTTCGAATAATCATATGCCCGCAATCGTTCAATGATAGAGTACAAAAAAATGACAATCCAACTCTGATGAAACATATTTGTCTCTCATGATTTGTGTTCAGCTGATGTTTAATAACATGAAAAGCATATGCTGACCCTTTGAAGAGCATACAATGAGATGTTCGTGGCACTGTTTCTGTATCTATCCCTATCTACATTTAATTTGGGGCCGGGATTGGCGCAGTGGATGAACGTCCGTCTCACGACCGCAACCGGGGTTCGATTCCCGACACGGGCAAGGAACTTTTTTCAATATTTCATTTACGAATTAATTATTGTTAAGTTTCGGAGCATCGGCTGGAGTTAGTAGCAAAGCCTACACAGAACACGCAGAGATATGATGATGTGGTTGTGAGCATCAGAGCATCAGCAAAAGAAGTAGGACGGTGTATGTAGGTGGGTGTGAAAAACTACCAGCTGAGCGTGAGAGCGGGCCAGCTGCTTAGTGGACCTCGGTCTCTAACGGGGGTTATCCAGAATAGCTAGCAGGCCTGCCAGCATATGGTAGTGAGTACATTACTAGCCTACAAAACACAACCGAAAAACTCTGAAAGAGAGCTGATGGGCGGTACCTGAAAATGATGTTAGCCAGCTCTCTTAAGCGTACCAGTCATTGAAAAACACCTTGGGGCTTGCAAAAAGGTTCCATTAGGGACTAGTTATTGACGTGCAAACGTCCCCCACCAGAACCAGTACCAGTACATTCAATTTTGTATCTTACTTCTTCCAGATAACACGGAGTTCCATCATAGAATCATCGTGGGCACCGAATACAGACACGAAAAACCAGTCTTCAGAGTGCGATCGTACAGAGTGAAGCTGCAGCATGCCGAAGCGTACACTGCGACCTTCAGCAACCTCTTCGGCGGCAAGGACACCGCCAGGTCAGACGCTTACTCTGGCTACATCAGCAAGTCCCTTCCAAATATCGTCAAGCAGATTATGCCGGAAATAAATGGCGCCTACACCAAGGTTTTCGGCCAGCTTGGTCGGGAACTTATCAATGGCACTCCAGCAGAAATTCTGTGTCCAGGTAGACAAAAAAACTGATGCTATTGAAGATACGGAATGATTCGTTCTAAAATAATATATAGATACTTAATAAGGTACTGCATTTATAAAAATAAATGTTTCTAGAATCCGAATGCGTCCTTATTTCTTGCAATCATTCATAATCATTCGAATTTAGACAATGATGAGTGAGCTCATTTGTCAATTACTGTAGGCTAGATCACTACTTGAAATGAACCAATAAGGCGATTCCTACCAAAGATTCCTCATAGAAACTATGGAAACATGAGAATTGAGTAGGACAGTGAATCAGTAATTTCTCATAGCATTAATGAGATTGAAATGGCCGAATGACGATTCTTAACGCGTTTGAATTGTAATTTGCACATAGATTTATTGAATCACCGTGGCATTTATGAGTCTGGAATGTGCCTTGTATATGCATTCCTAATGAGTTTATTCCTGGGAGATATTCACAAGCCTATATGAGTATCGAGTTCCACAGATACAATCGTGATCAGTTTCTTATAACAATGTCTTAAGCAGATAAATTTCTGATCAGTTGTCCATTAGAACTCCTTATCAAAAAACCCTGTCATTCATGAGTTTGAAATATGTGATTGAGACTGCTAGGTTTCTCGGTTATTATTGAAGATAGAGCCTTGTAGTTTTCACGTTTCCTTCCTTCTTTTTTGTAAAACTTAAGATGACCTAGTCAGATTTTGCTTAAAAATTATGAGTTTGTGTCATATCTTCAAAACGATACTCGAAATAAAAAATGAGTACGCTACTGGACTCTGCTGGAGATTCGCCATCATTCCTTTCAACTTCGAAACAATTATGTAAAGTCTGATGTGGTCATCTCTAGAGTTTCACAAAAAAAAGTAGGAAAGAAACGTAAGAACTGCAACGAAGTATCTTCAATAACAACTGGCAAACCTAATGAAAGTCTCAACCAAATGGAATACCCTGTACAGTGTACAGAGTGGGCCAAATTGAACACTTTTTAAAGAAAGTACTGAGTATTCTAGTACTATACAGGGTGTCCTATAAGTCATGGATCAAAAGAAGTGGAGTGGTAATGGGGGTCATTTCCAATCATACTAACGGTATACATGGTTGTCCAATTGTTGATGGTTCAAAAGTTATCAATGTTTTTCATTTCTATGAAGAGAAAGTATTATGAGCTCGGTGAGCCGAAGTTGCAGGAAATGAATTCCGCTGTACATGGATACTTGATTACTGGATTTATTGCAATAAATGGTTTTCGTATCTGAATGCGTCTAATTTATTGCTCTGGTGAGCTTACTTGTCAATTACTGTTCGTCAGATAACAACTTCATATAAAAAAACTGTTTTGCTGTTGTCAATTTTCAACGAGTTCTTGCTGTCTTTTCCAGATATACTTATTTATATAATCAGAACTCCTTATATTGAATCAACAGGGAATTTACGAGTTTGAAATGATTATTGTAATAAAAAAAAAGGTTACTTCATCGTATGCCCCAGCATATATTGTATACATAACAGTGCTTTGAGGACGGTATCCATCAACTATGTTGATTTTCCAAACAACCCCTATAAAAACCTCGATCAGCTTAATATTGTATTGTAAATAAAACACCCACGATGGTTCGATTCCAATTGATTCTATGGCTGATTTCTTACTTCAAAATAACGGTTTGGGCCAACTTGCCTTGATGAAATATTCCTGATGAGGAAGATACAGGGTATCAAAAAGTAAAATTGTATAATTTATATTTCGCAATCACGCTGAACATGTTCACGGAAATAACGACTCAGATAGGTACGGAATAATTATATATCCTAGGGTATATTAGTGTGTTTTCAGTTATACATACATATTGGTGTCCTCAATATCATCTCACAAGTCCTCAAGGTAGGAATGCTATGCCAGAAATTTTATAGCATTCTTTATTTCTTAGAGCATACGAGAGGAAATTCCTATCATTTTCTGAGAACTTTGCGCTTTTCCAGTAGGATAGGGAGTTATTGGAATTTTTTAACTTTCGGAGGTTATGAGGTCTTGAGAATTCTTTCATTCGCAACGAATTCCAAGCTTTGCCGTCCTATTTAAGAATGAAGTTTTATTTAAGTGTTGTTCGACATATTTCAAGGTTGACAACGGAAATATTTGCTGACTGGTCCTTTCAAGTTCTTCTGACTGGTATTGCTAGTGATGAAGTTATAACAGATATTTCTGAAGGACATTTTCCGTGGTAGTATCTATTGAAAAGTGAAAGGTCGCCAACTATTCCACGGTGTTCCAATAAGGTCGAAAGATTAGTGACTGTGGCTCCTTCCACCAGGCGAATGGCTCTTTTTTGGATGGAATATAAGAGCATCAGGGTATGTTTGGGTGCTGAACCTCATAGGTGGGAACAGTTTTTTAAATCAGGCCTTCATCTGTGCTCTGTAGATCATGAGAAATGAAGTGGACTATCCCACGGAATGAATATCCGAGTTCTTGTGAAGCAGCTCTCGCGATGGATCGAACATGATTTTCCCATGGGAGAGTCTGAAAGAGTATTGCTGATGGAAATACAGAGCATAGATATAGTGGAGATGGTGGTACCAGACATCATTATATCAGGCATACTGAGTTCTGCCTCTCTAGAGAAAATACAGGCTTGGTGCCAAAATTGATCCTTGTGGAACGCGCTGGAATTGATGACAATGATATCAGACGATACTCTGTCCATCACCACATGGAGCGATATGCCTGAGAGAAAACTCGATGAAAGATGGCATAGCTAGAGTGGTAAGCCAATCGTTGTTTGTGGAGGAGTCCTTGCTGCCAAACACAATGCCTACAATATAACAACGCCACAGCTTGAGATTTCCCATATCTGATGAGCTCAATGTGGGCCTATATGGTTGTTGGGCAAGCATTTGTTCTCTTTCTTGGAGAATGGTGGGACTCCAGCTATTTTCCAGCAAGATGGAGGAATACCTGACTTGTACGGGATGGTGAATAACTTGCAGAGAATCGGTTTCAATTATGGTGCACATTTTTTAGAGAATAATGGGTGAAATTCCATCAATACCGTCAGCCTCATTCGTTATGAGACTGAGCAGTGTGCTACTGATAGTGCTTTGACGAAAAAAGATTTCGAGCATTCGATTTTGAACGGGTGGAATATCTGGCGGTACTCTTCTCTGGAAATCTAAGGTGAAGTATGCTGCAAACATCTCTAAAAAACATTCTCCTTTCTCTTGCGACGTCTTTGCTAATATGACATCGGCTCTGGAGAGTGCTGGAAATGAACTATTTGTGAAAATTCCTCCCAAATGTTTCAGCAAGAATGGAAACGAACGGAAGTCATAGGAACAGTCTAAGAGTTGTTTTGATCTTACTTCGGCATTGTATGATCCTCTTGATGCATCAATTGTTTGGCGGCAGTTATTCCTCCCTTCGACATATCCTTCTGTAGTCACGAGATGAGGATTGGAGTCCTTCAAGTCGTATTCTACGACAGGCAGGACTTACCGTGGAGTAATTCTGATTGGACCGCCACACGGTCAATTTCTCGAATCCTATTCATTTCAGTTCACTGTCATTTTCTCTTCGGAGTGATTATTCTCATGATAAATCAACGTAGAGAATGATATTCGTATAAAAATACATTTTTTTCACACAGAAACGAGAAATATAATCATCATGCAAGAAGAACTATTATAGTGCGAAATTCGGTTGAGGGATCTGATAGTAGAAGTACTAGTAGAATAAGTGAGGAGGCTGATGCCTGGCGAGTAGGCGCTCATGGGCCCTTTTTGCCAATTTTCCACATATCTACACATCCTTCTAGTTGTAAATTCTGAATCTTCCTGGCCTTCTGCTGAAAGTCAAGATGTCCACTCTGATTCGATTGAATTATTCTGTTGTAGTTTAACCACTCCAAAGATTCCGAGTCTCATCCTATCATAAGCCATACACTCTCCGAGCAGGTGAGATTACTTTTCCTCATCTTCTTCGCATTCACAGCAGGTGGGAATATCTTCTACTCCTATGAGTGATGGGTACCTGCGCGACCTATCGTGTTCTGTCAGTAAGCCTATGGGGAGGCGCAGTACTTGGTGGTCCCTGCAAAGTAACCAAACCGTCTTTTACTTGTTTGCACCGGCCACCAGGTTTCTTGATTGCCTGCAGCCGTCTATATATATGCCTCCAAATTCTCGATGTCAACAATCATTCAGTGAGGGTTGCTGGGCTGTGTGCACGTGAATATATACCAAAGAAGGGAAGATTTGTATTTCGTGCAAGATAATTTATTCAATATTCGTAGCAGAGCGCTTTTGACTGTTAAGTCATCAAAGATTTTTTTATGGACGAATTTCCCTGTTTACCTGACGAGTACGCACTGATAATGACTTAACAGTCGAGAGCGCTCTGCTACGAATATTGAATAAATTATCTTGCACGAAATACAAATCTTCCCTTCTTTGGTAACAATCATTCAGCCAACACACTCGACTTATTCCTCACTAATAATTCAGCACCATACACCATATATGCACGAGCTCCACTTGGCAATTCTTTATTCCATCAACTACTCCAGCACTTTGTCTATATCTTTCAACTAACTTTGTCTTATATCGTTAGCGGTGTAGATAGTATCTTATACCGTTGAATATTTCAGCGAAATTTATCCATAACCTCAATTCATTTCGTGATTTATTCTTATCAATGAGTATAAATGGGATGCAACTTGATGTTCAGCTGCCCCTCTAATCTCGAGGCAGGGACGGGCCCATGGGAAGGGGTTCTGGGGTTCACCTCCCCCCCCCTAATCTTAGACGAATTGGTGAATTGAGTTTGAAAAGTTTCATAAAAAAACGTTTCGTGGTAAATATTCGTTTTCTGTGACTTCAAACTAGGGCATTCCCACTCCCAACTAGGAATTTGCAACTTCAAGAACCTACGATTTCGATTTTGAAGTCAAAATTCACAAGTTCCATGAAGGAAATTTGGATTCCCAGTTCAAACCGGTAACTTCCAACTGCAAACTCGAGTAGCTTGAAGCTTGAAGTCGAAAAAATTATCCGAATTATATTCCACGCCTTGTTCTCAAGATCATATGTTGTACCCCCGATCCCGCTAGGTGTCGCATGA